GGGACCCATAAGAAGACCAGGACAAGCGTTTAGCAAAGAATAAGGCGCAAGGCGTATCTCCAAAATTTATGATACCGATGGTGGGTTTCAGAAGGAAGACTCGATTTCGTCTCACTGGTAAAGAACCGGAAGCTTACCACGCTCAGGAGCGAGGCTTCATCTCCCTCCCTCCGATTATCTTCTGGCCTTTCACAGTTAGGTCAACACAGAGCCCCTTTTGAAGACGCCAACACAGACGGCCGCTATTCCTCTTGATTTACTGCTTGGTGGTCGACCGGTAGATAGGTCCTTCCCCCGAACCTAATTTTCCGCAACGTCTTTGCCACAGATAATGAAAAAAAAAAAAGCTCCACTTTTAGTTGGAGTCCAGAGCATTGGTTGAAGTTGGTCAGGGGTATGCCGATGATGAGACGGGTGAGAGGGAGAGAAGACAGGTAGCAAAGGATGCTGCCTGGTCCGTCGCGGTATATGTCGTGTAGTCGCTTGTTTATGGTGGATGTGTTGATTGACTGAAATGGATTGTATTTCTAACGACAGCTTGGCCGAGTGGTTAAGGCGATAGACTAGAAATCTATTGGGGTAACCCGCGTGAGTTCAAATCTCACAGCTGTCGGATCCATATTGCCTTGCGTTTTTGTATCATCACCTTTTCGACATCACTGCCTTTCACGTCGCTGTTGGTGCCTCCCTTGGTCTTCATGTACGTGAAGTGCTGCTGCTGCGTCTGTCCACCCCAACCGATTTCAAGATAACGCTTTCTATGACCACAGCTCGGTCCTATGCATTCGTCGATATTTTACTACTGAAGGGACGCCGTATGCGCCCTTGTTTGTGTATGGACCGCACCTGAGACGCAAGCATGCGCCAGTAGCCAAATGAACTCTGGTTTGAGTAGCTATCGCGCCTCGACATGGCGTAACTAGAAGTACACCCGATCCGTAGCTGAGGTGGGCCGGCGGTTGCCACGCTGTGATGGTTGGGGTCTCCCGATGCGGCGAGGGGCTGGCGTGGGGGCGCGCATAGGATGCCAGGACAAGTGGTGTCGGAAAGGAGAGAGGCGCAGGTGTGTGCGCCAAATTTGTGATGCGATGGGTGTGTTCAGTGTGGAGCGTCGGTGTCGTCTAGTGGCTAGGACGAGAGCTTAACACGCTCAAGATCGAGGGTTCGATCCCGTCCACACAGAGCCACTTTTCGAGACGCCTGCACATGCTGCCGCCATTCCTCCTCCTGCTATCGCGTCGTGGTCGAACGGTAGCGCGGTGCTGTCGACGAAGCTAGTTGTTCGCAGCCTCGTTGGCACAGATAATGAAAAAAAGAGCAGCGGCAGTGCTAGGTCGGGTGCAGAGCATTGGTTGAAGTTGGTGAGGGGTATGGCGATGATGAGACGGGTGAGAAGGAGAGAAGACAGGTAGCAAAGGATGCTGCCTGGTCCGTCGCGGTATATGTTGTGTAGTCGCTTGTTTATGGTGGATGTGTTGATTGACTGAAATGGATTGTATTTCTAACGACAGCTTGGCCGAGTGGTTAAGGCGATAGACTAGAAATCTATTGGGGTAACCCGCGTGAGTTCAAATCTCACAGCTGTCGGGTCCATATTGCCTTGCGTTTTGGTATCATCACCTTTTCGACATCACTGCCTTTCACGTCGCTGTTGGTGCCTCCCTTGGTCTTCATGTACGTGAAGTGCTGCTGCTGCGTCTGTCCACCCCAACCGATTTCAAGATAACGCTTTCTATGACCACAGCTCGGTCCTATGCATTCGTCGATATTTTACTACTGAAGGGACGCCGTATGCGCCCTTGTTTGTGTATGGACCGCACCTGAGACGCAAGCATGCGCCAGTAGCCAAATGGACTCTGGTTTGAGTAACTATCGCGCCTCGACATGGCGTAACTAGAAGTACACCCGATCCGTAGCTGAGGTGGGCCGGCGGTTGCCACGCTGTGATGGTTGGGGTCTCCCGATGCGGCGAGGGGCTGGCGTGGGGGCGCGCATAGGATGCCAGGACAAGTGGTGTCGGAAAGGAGAGAGGCGCAGGTGTGTGCGCCAAATTTGTGATGCGATGGGTGTGTTCAGTGTGGAGCGTCGGTGTCGTCTAGTGGTTAGGACGTGAGCTTAACACGCTCAAGATCGAGGGTTCGATCCCGTCCACACAGAGCCACTTTTCGAGACGCCTGCACATGCTGCCGCCATTCCTCCTCCTGCTATCGCGTCGTGGTCGAACGGTAGCGCGGTGCTGTCGACGAAGCTAGTTGTTCGCAGCCTCGTTGGCACAGATAATGAAAAAAAGAGCAGCGGCAGTGCTAGGTCGGGTGCAGAGCATTGGTTGAAGTTGGTGAGGGGTATGGCGATGATGAGACGGGTGAGAAGGAGAGAAGACAGGTAGCAAAGGATGCTGCCTGGTCCGTCGCGGTATATGTTGTGTAGTCGCTTGTTTATAGTAAATGTGTTGATTGACTAAAATGGATTGTATTTCTAACGACAGCTTGGCCGAGTGGTTAAGGCGATAGACTAGAAATCTATTGGGGTAACCCGCGTGAGTTCAAATCTCACAGCTGTCGGGTCCATATTGCCTTGCGTTTTGGTATCATCACCTTTTCGACATCACTGCCTTTCACGTCGCTGTTGGTGCGTGTTTTAACGTTTCACATCATTTCATCCATTACAAAGTCGTGCTTCGCCTGAAGAAACTCTGAAACTAAACCCCCCAAGCCCGGATACCGGTATTAGAA